TGATTATCACAAATCAAGTCATTAACGAGCAGACTTTTAGAGGAAAGAGATCTTGTGTTGAATAAACCACATTTATCATTTTAACTTTTTGGATTATTTTAATTTTTGGTAATTGTATTTTAATTTTAATTATATTATCACGATTTACTCCTTTGGAAATCTTTGCTAACTTATTAGATTTTGGTCGTGGGCAAGACACTGTCTGGATGGAGTAAAGAGTGGGTAACAGTAGAGAAGCTGCAGAGATGTGTGTTAAACTACAACTCTGCTTCCTGGTCTGCACCCTGGGTGGTCAGGGTTTTGGAGGACTAATAAATTCTAAAATCTTTCTAGATTCCTAGAAAGAGGAGCTGCAGCATCCAAAGTGGAATGGATGCCGTCTCTCCAAAAGTCCAAAAGGATTTCCAATTGTTTTCAGGACGCCACCTAGATAACCAGCAGTTGAAAGACAACATGTGGCAAAACATGTCATCACTGGTCAGATGGATGATGGATGGATCTATCCATCTATTTTGGATTTAACAGAATCCAGAATATAATTGGTTAGATAGATGGATGATGGAATATTGTATTTTTAATACCAGCATCCGGTAAATCAGTGGTTCTCAGTCCTCGTTCTGAAGCTCCACTCCTCTGGTTGCTTTAGGTTCTCCTCACTGTATCACAGCTGACTTATATAAAAAAGTAATTGTGATTTCATGTTTTTGGTGTGCAGCAACAAAAAGACATTTTATATGTTTATATGTCTGTGCCTCTAATACATACAGGGTGGTGGTACATGAGGAGCAGGTTTGAACATGACTGACTTAAAACTATTAAAGTTAACATAAGAGTACAGCTTCAAAATCAAAAGAATTATTTGATCTGGACCAAAATAAATAAACAGAGAGCTTGAAACTCATCTTTCTAACTGACAGGTATGAATAGATTTCAGCAGATTCATTTCATATCAAAAGAATTAAACAAGCTTTTATAGTCATTTTATGTAAAATGTCCCTGAAGGTCTAGAACAAAGAGCCAACGCTGGGAAAAAAACAACCTAGAAATAAGTAAAAAATTCTGAAATTAAGTGTATTTGACCTTAATTTGAGCAGGTTGATAAGATATTTTGCTGATGGAATTAGTATCTTACTCTTAAGATAAGATAATTAGATAATATGCACTTAATAAGACATATGCAATTTTGTTTGCTTATTTTAAGTGTAAATTGTCTTGTTCCATTGGTAAAATGTTTCTTTTACCTCCTCGATCCAAGAACAAATTCACTTATTTTAAGAAAAAAATTATATATCTAGATTTTGATTTTTTTCCAGTGAAAATTATGGTAGGGAAGGCTGGAAGACATGTCCCAAGTCATTCCAGTTATCCTGTGGTGGGAAACAAGATTGTAGACCTGATACTGTAGAACTGCAATCACAGAGCGCCGAGCAACAGAGAAACTATTTTCCTTCCTGCCCTTAACCACCTGAAAGGCAGGTAGGATGGCGGCGGCGGTTCCTTCTCTCAGATAAAACCCTTCAGATATGTTTTCTCTGGCTATTGAAGGTGGGCCATGCCTCACCTTTATTTAACTCTTTTAGGGGTTCAAACTCCACCAGCAGAAAAAGGAGACTCCATAATAGAAAAAAATAACAGAATAGAATAAAGCAGGAAACAGTTTTAGAAAATATGCTAAAATAAAAATCTGCTTAAAAAATGTAACCGTAAAATAATCAAGCATAGGAGGGTCTATATAATTAGATAAAAATGGGTCTAAGTTAAGCTATCTAATAGAGATTCCAGTCTGATCTAGTTTTTCTGTAGATACAGCCTTTTAATGCTTTATTTTTTAATCTAAAGTTAACCATAACTTAAAAATGGGCGGATGTCTGTAAACTGGTTCCATTTTATTTTTCATTAAAACATTTAGCCAAGCCTCAGAATAATTAAAGCCGTATCTTTGCTGAATTTAAACTCCATGCAGTGAAAGACGCAGTGCAGGAGCGGGACGTCTGTCTGGATGAGTGTCTGCATATGGAAAAGGTCAGCCAGGTGGGAGAACAGAGAGCCTTACCTTCCCGCCTTGCTGACTCCAGAGGATCTGTGTGGTCCTGAAGGAGCCACTTTATATGTTTGGGTCCCTGCTCTAAATATGAATAAAAACACTGAGGGATTTTTATTCACAGAAAAGGGAACATTTTTATTCATTCTATGAGTTCTAGGACATCAGGATAATCTTTAACTTCTTATCTGGAAGTCGTGAAAAAGTGGTTAAACAGTTGCTAAATCTGATATGTGACCTTTGACTCATGGCTAATACCCCTGATCTCCACTAAGAGACTGGATGTGAAAAATGTTGGCCAAGAGTACAAGATGACGCAATGGAAGGAGCATCTATGATATCACCAGACGGTTATGGAAGAAGAGAATTATAGCTGCATAAAGGTCCGAATGTGGGAAGGAAACAAATAAAGCAAAAAATATGAGCAGGAATATCTGGACCAGAAGAGCCTGATAAGGAGAGCAGATATGGACACCATGCAGGTTTGGTTCTTATTTCCTACTGATGAGTCTCCACACCATGTCCCACCAGAGCAATAAAATGAACAAAGACTGAAGCACAGTCTAGGGAGATCAGGGCTGTTTAACAGTAAACCAGGTTGACCCAACAGAAGCGACTCTGAACATTGAAACATGACCATTGACCTCTGCTGAGCCACAGCTTTAGGTGTTGCTCAGGCTTCGTATATTTTATGAGTTGTTGTTTTTTTTCCATGTCTTTATTGTTCATTTATTGATTTTTTTTTCATTGTTCTTCTTTATATCATTTTGGAACATATTAATGGGTCAGGGACATAGCTGTATTTGTAAAATATAGTGCAAAGTTGAGGTGACTGCAGTGTAACTGCAAACCTTGACTTTTGTGCTCAACTGTCCTATTGTGATCAAGACCTGTTTTTACCATTTGAGGTGCAGTAAAGTCAATGAGATCCTTAAATCCATTTGGAACAATCAAGTATGAGGTTACAAAATAAAAAAAAAAATGCCAGGCCTCTGCAAAAACTCAAGATTGAACCAGGAACCTTCAGATCTTCAGTCTGACTCTCTCCCAACTGAGCTATTTCTGCAAATGTGCTCTGATCCAAGGTCTGCCACGACACTCGTCACATGAATTGATGTTCATATCAGTTTTGTATCGGATTTCTCATATCCTACACATTGTGCAGAATCCTTCATTGTATTTTGGATTAGAAGGGTGATGACAGAAGCCAGGTTTCTTTCCTTGTTTTGATGAAGTCTGATATGAATGATGAAAAAGGGACAATTTCAAAGTGTAGCTATCACTGTGGGGCTTAATCATTATCAACTAAAAGTGGGGATTTAATACCTGATCTGATTTAATACCTGTATATGACACGTCGTGAATTAGCACTATATAAATAAACTTTGTTAAAATTAATTGAATTAAAGAGTGCTACAACTAGAAAATCAAAATAAATAAACTTTATTTGATGGCTCATAACATCCCTATAGGGGCTTAAGGAAAATTACAATAACCAGGCTGAAAGATAGTGAAGCTAATTTGAACTGATTCATGACACAAAAATGAGAATTTATAAAATGCAGAATGAGTAAAGTAGTGAGTAGATAATACTACATACTGATAACGTATATGCTAAACCCTAACCTCCTATTTTGCTGTAAAGCGAAAAGAGCAGCAGGTGTGAATGAGGAGGAGGCAGATCTTCACACTCAGGGATGCAGAGGTGGAGAACTTAGACCAGTAAGCATCTGGAAGTACTGCAGGTCCGAGTAGATCTGATGGATCTCAAAAGGATTAACTGGGACCTCCGATAAGAAAGGTTGGATCATCTTTATTACTGTGGCGCTATCCTCAGTAACCTTGACAACAATGGCCAGAGATGCCAAAAAAGAAATGACTAATGCAATATTTGGAGGGTCAGTAGGACCATGCAACCAAACCCCCCACTGGCTTTCTCATTGGCTGCGTCCTTGAGCAAGGCATTTCACCTTCTTAGCCTACTGTTACCTCTCTACAGCTGCCTGCTCCTTTCATTGAGCTGCAGCTGTGGATAACATGGATCACAGTGCAGCATCATCGTGTGAATGGGTGAAAAACCGAATGTGTGGTGGAAAGCACTTTGATCCAAAAAGGTTCTGCATAAGTACAGGTCAAGAACTAACCACAAACCAGAGGTAAACACTCTGATCCATGAATTGTGGAAATGGACCCCAGTAGAACAATGAGCTGCATCCAGCTGCTGCTGACATTTAGGATGAAGGTTTGTCTCCCATCATCTACGTCCATCCTGTAAGGAGACCTGCTGGTGTTGCTCAGGCCTCATAAAACCCAACGTCCTCCATGCAGCCATACTTCCTTCCTCTGTCACATCAATCCTCCATCCAGTAGAACATGCTTTTTATTGCAGACAGCAATACATTAAATTAGGTAAAGTCTGACCTACAGTTCTTCATGTCTATGGAGGAGAGATTTTGATCCTGCATAGTTTGAATGAATTAATGAATTTCTGGGCTCTATTACTGTCAAGAATAGACAGCGGGAGCTTTGTTCATCAAACCTTTTTTGTTACAGTTTCTGATCAAGATGCCAAAGTTTTCTGTGACGAGAGAAGGGATCTGATTACAAAGTTAGCATTTATACCGTAAAAATTCAAAAAATATCCACTGGACTTGGTTTTCAAGATTTGAATTGAGAAAGCTTCCTGGAGAGGTGGCGAAACGTCTTCAAATCTTGAAAACCAAGTCCAGTGGATATTTTTTGAATTTTTACGGAATGACTATGACCTGGATGACTGAGAACCTTCATCAGCATATTAGCATTTATAAGTCTCCTAATCAGATGTTTAACTCAGAAAGTCCAAACTGGTCTAAATCTTTCCCTCAGCCGCTGATGGCTGTGAGGGGAGCACAGTAATGCACAGTAATCCACATTAATAAACATTAATCACCTTTATTTCCAAAATTCAAAGACAGCTACACCTTAGTGATGGCATTGGATAAACTGCTCCAGCTTTACTTCTTGGAAACTTGGTGAGCAACTGTTAGAGTTTGATGTTAATTTGGTCTGATTGACCTGATGTGGGGCTGTTCAGGGTTCCCATTGCTCAAGGGCATGTCAGCAGTCCAGCAGAAGAGCTAGCTTCCAGGGCAGCCGCTGGCTAGACGGCCAGGTATTTTGCCATAGCTGGGTTCTTGCTGAAGTGCAGCTTGGCCCACAGGTGTTTCTGTTCAATCTGCTGGATAAACGTAGTTTCATACACCTGGAAACAGATGAGAGTGACTCAGCTGGCACAGTCATAACGTGAAAGAACCTGTTCACCATCAGTGGCATGGACTGAACCTGGTGGATGTCTTCGATCTGCCAGTGAAGTGAGCTCTCGTCTTTGGACAACAGGATGCAGTTCCAGGGACTCCAGTCCTTCTGACGCTGCCAGCGAGCAAACACCAGGCTGAAGACGTCTTCACTGCCGCTAAGAGCTGAGCGGGAGCCCCAAACCTTTTCTGTCAGGTAGCGGATGTCTTCCACCTGGGCAGAGGGGTATAAACGTATCAGCAGCTGATGATAACTGCTCAAGTAAAGGCTGGAAAAGCACAGGGAACACATCACCCTGGCCTGGAGGTAGAACATGGAGCAAAATATCATGTCAGGCCTGCAAAGATCTGATGCAGAAATTAAAGCAGGTGCAGCTAAACCTTGGAGCAGATTTTCTCAGTGAAGACAAAATGTTTATATAATCTTTGTGTAATTACTGCTCTGATTGGTCTGTATGTTCAGCTAACGGCATGTTTTAGAGTCACTAATTAACAATTTATTGATTACCATATTAGCTGATAATTATTTCATTAATCTATCATTAACCATCAGTCCAGTTTATGCATAGAAAACATTGCTTTTGCAATCAATGGGCATGTTGCTGGTGATCTACAAAGATGGAGTAAATGATGAGACGCACAGACCAGCTTGCTTACACCCAATCAGAATGAGCAGATGTTTATTTGACTCACAACCCCTGCTCTACGTACCTGGGTTGACCTGCTCAACCAGAACCAGCAGGATGTTCTCAGCAGGGTCCACCTGAGGAGAGTTAACCTGTGCAAAGTTTACCTGTTCAGAATTTACCTGTAGCAGGAAGGGGAGGCTGCCTTCTGCTTTCAGTCTGGCCTCGTCGGCTCTTAGCTTCCTCAGGATGTTTCTGTATGCAGAGTCTTCATGGCGGGATCCGGCAGCGTTCTGTAGACTAGTGCAGTTCTGGCAGCGGCCCGTCCGGCGGCCACCGCCACCTGACCCAAAGTCAGCAGAGCAAAGGTAGCGGCGACAGCTGAGGCAGAAGACCATGTCCTGCCGCAGCTCAGACGGCTTCTTGTGAACCTGCAACAGACTCCAGTTACTGGATCTCCAAGACCAACATGTCTGCTGACTGGATGTTCTTTCAGTTCCAGAGTTTAGAATAATTAGCATATCTCCACTTAATTCAGACTTTTTTCTTTACACTCATCTTTTTTGCAAACAGCGATTTTATTATTTAAGGTCAGAAAATATGATCTAAATCAGCCTGAGCTTCTGCAGAACCTCCTGAGGCCTGAAGATAATAATCTACAAGAAAACATGAAATAAGCAGGAAGTAACAGCAGACCTGCAGCCCACTCATGCCTACCTTCAGCAGTTTGGCCACTTTGGGGTTAAACGCCGGCGTTTTGATGTACTGCAGGAACAGAGTGCAGATCCTCTTCCTCAGTCCCTCCAGATTACGCTCCTTAACATTTCTCCTCATCAGGTCCATCTCCCTGTCGATCAGATCAATGATCTCCCGCACCAGCGGACACTTGTGCTCCTGTACAGCAAATAATAATCAGCAACCATCTCTGCAGAGGAGCATCTACCATCCTCTCAAGGTTTATTACCTCAACAGTGTTTCTAATCTTCTGGAGGAGGTCTCGTCTGTGCTGCCTGTCTGCATTGAACAGACTGAGCTCCTGGTAGAGCTCACTCAGCTCCCTGGCTCTGATGTCATGGGGTGTGTCCATCTGAAGCAGATGGCCGCCGGCTGATCGCCACTGATGAGGAGCGGAGCACTGGACCAGGAGCAACGGACAGTTGGTGCATCAGCTGACCACAATTTACCAAAAGGCGTAATTCTAGATTTTTATTTTCACTGAGCGCCAGCAGGTGAAGCCAGTTTGGTTGATCATTGCTACTCTGTGACGACGAAGGTATCCCTCTGCTAACCAGAAACCTGTTGGGTGGGGGTGGTGGCAGCATGATGCTGTGGGAACATCTGTCTGCTAAAACAGGCGTCATCATCAAACAGAGACTAGATGAACCTGAATCCAGCCGCTCTACACGCCCCCACCCAGGAAGCATGGCTACACCCTGCTCATCAATAAACAGAACTGTTCCTGCATCAGAAGGCCCACATAGATATAGACTGTTCAGAATTGGGCTCTATGAGCAAGAGGTGATGTCTTACCTGACTCAAGAAGTCCTTAATCATCCTGTCATGGTTGCTAGCGGCGGTGCCGATGTGATGGCGGCCGATGGCGGCGATGAGTTGAGTCTCTGTCTCCAGCAACGAGCACAGTGCGACCTTCCTCTCAGCTCCTCGCAGGGTGGACTTTATCTGCTGCTCCGCCTCTGCCCTCCACTCTTAAAATCAAAACCATGAAACAAATATTTAAGGATGCCTTACTGCTTCCACCCCGCCCCCACCTGTTGCTGCCAGGCATACTCTCCAGGGCGCTGTAGAGCAGATCATAGTCCTGCCGGCTCTGTGGGTTCAGCCTGCGCCTCAGCTGCTCCTCTTTATGGTTTTTCTCCTGCAGCTGGAACCAGGCCAGGCGGCGGAGCCGCTCCTTCCTCATCTGCTCCACCTTCTCCTGGGCCAGCCAGCGCCGAACATGTGACTGCAGGCAGATGACCTGGGGGACGGAGAAGATGGTCATCAACCAGGTTTTGAGGTGGAATTGGCTCTCCAAGTCTGCTCTAATCATCCCAGAAGTGGTCCACCTTGGCTCAGTGCAGACCAGCTCCTTCATGATGGACCTCACCCTCACCTTCCAGGTGTGTTCAGTAGAACCTGCCCCATCTTGTGGATGAGAGCTGTTTCTGATAGTTCCACCTCAGTCAGAGTGGATGGAGAGCATCTGAACATCTGATTCAAGGTCTGGTCACAAATTCTCTGGACTTTGACTAGACCCCCTAATACATGAACCTGCTCTGATCCAAAGTGTCATGCTGCCTCTTGCTGAAGGTTCCTGGTGGAATGTGAACCTCCACCTGATTCCCCAGCCTTCCTCTAGAATAGTCCTGAACTGAATGAATGAAGAATGAAGTGGTGTATGAAGACGAGCAGCCCCACACCATGATGCGGCCGCCACCATGTTTCTTGGTGGGATAAGGTCTCAGCATCTGTGCAGTTTCCAGCAGACAGATCAACAAGGACAACTCTTTTGTGCTTTTCAATCTCTTCCAGCCTGTCAGTCCAGGTCCGTCGGTCTCCTGGTCCTCAGAAAGCTCCGACCTCCATGTTTCAGATGTTTCTGCATCAGCATACCTAATTCCAATGACTCCATGACCTCCTCAGCAGCCGGCAGAAACCTGCTGATAGTTCTTTAATATCAGTCTGATGTTAGGCAGCGAGAAAAAGACCAGGAATACAGTCTGATGGTCTGGGTGGACGTCTATGTCCTATAGGTCTACTAGTGGTCTTCTCTCCATGTTCAGATAGAAGATTGATCAGAACTCTGGGAGATGGTTTCCTAATCTATCCCGCTTTAAACAGAAGCTGCTGTCTGATCCGTCTGCTAGATTCTTGGGTCTAACGTTCTCTGAGGCCCTCAGAGAAAATCTGCTCTCCTACTAGGACTGAACTACTCAGAGACTGGCCGTCCTTCATTATCAGGCTCCAGTTGGGTGGTTATGGTCTTTCAATGGATATGTGATGCTCAGAGATTGTGTTAGATGATCAAATGTAATTCATTTAATATAAACACTCTGTCCTTCCTGACTAACTGCACCTGCTGGAGATCTGTCACCTCGGCTACCATCAGTTAATTTGCTCTTTTTATTGGGTAGAAACAGGAAACCAGTTTCCACTCACAGCTTCCAGCCTCCGGCCATGATACTCGGCAGCAGTGGTGTATTTCCCAGGAATGATCAACTTGTCCCTCAGACAGGACACATAGCAGCCAATGCCGGTCATCTGAGTGGACGCGTCCACTGGGCACTGCTGGAGCGTCGACCGCAGGTCCACTGTCTGTTTGGAAGAAATCAAGACAATCCGTTACGGGGGTGGGGTGGGGGTTTCAGTCATTATGATATGTGATAGTTTTAGTCGGCTAAAACTCTAAAAGGTTTTAGTCTAGTTTTAGTCAGTTTTATGTTGCACTTCATAAAAAAGTGAACCTTTATAAATAAACAACTAGATTCTTTCCCAGACTGACTGCTCTATCCTAGATGCTACAATAGCTGGGTATAGAATATTCATCATTGCTGTTGGGCAGAAAACTTTGATTTATAAATCAATCAATCAATCCATCCATCCATCCATCCATCCATCCATCCATCCATCCATCCATCCATCCATCCATCCATCCATCCATCCATCCATCCATCCATC